TGGCTCGCACACGCACAACGGTAGTCGGGGAGGAAGCTGAAAATCTGGCAGAGTGATGGCGCCAAGGAGTTCCGCAGTCACGAACTGGAGAACGTTCTTACCGAGAAGGAAATCAAGGACGAAATTTCCCTCTCATAAGCTCACCAACAGCAAGGCGTCGCGGAGAGGGTTAACCGCACCCTCATGACGAAAGTGCGCGCCCTCATGAACCAGTCCGGCCTGCCCAAGAAATTATGGCCCTATGCAATGAACCACGCGGCGCGCCTGCACAACCTGCTCTCTACCACAGCCAACAGGGACAACCTTTCCCCGCACATGAAGTGGACCGGCTCAAGGGGAGACCCCTCCATGCTGAGGGTTTGGGGGTGTATGGTGCAGTACCGGCCGACTTCAGCGACAATCGGCAAGTTTGCTCATCGTGCGCGCTGGGGAATCCATCTGGGACTCAGCAACGAGCACAAGGGTTGGCTTATTCTTGACGTGGTCAGCAAGGAGATTGTTCCTGCGCGCGATGTTTTCTTCTACGAACGACTCACCTTGAAGCAGTGGATCGAGGACGAACGGCGCAACGAAGCTCGCGGCTACGTCAACAACGGACGTAGCTTTGCGTCCCCAAAGGATGCAGCAGCAGTAGCAGCACTTGATGGCGACACCGACGATCATCCCGGCGTTCAGCCCTGCCCGCGCACGGACGCTGACGACGATGACAGTGACGACGCGCCCGCGCCTGGACCATCTCGCCGCCAAGACGAACCAAGCACATCCTCACCTGGCCACGAGAGCGACGATGACGACGTGGTGGAAGTCCCCACAACCGACACCGCGGACACCACGAATGTGTCTGGTCTGCAACTTCTCGGCCTTCACAACTCGGTCTCTACCATCGTCCACGTCGTCGAACCCATGAACCCGCGCCAGGCCTTGACAGGCCCTCACGCAAAGGAATGGCGTGCAGCAATGGATGCAGAACTCAAGGCGCTGGAGTCCCGTGACACCTGGGTTCTCGTCGATCGTGCAGCAGTGAAGGGGAGAAGGGTGCTAAGTGAAAAATGGGTATTTCGTCTCAAGACTAACGCTGACGGAACCATCGAACGCTTCAAGGCACGATGGGTCGTACGCGGATACGACCAGCGCCACGGCATCGACTTCGACCAAACCTTTGCTCCCGTCAGCCGCCACACATCGGTCAGGATACTACTCGCCATAGCCGCCGCTAAGCATCTGCCACTGCGACAGATCGACGTAAAGAACGCGTTCTTATACGCGTTGGTGGACGCAACCATCTTCGTGGAGCAACCACACACTTACGGAGAAGGAGACCTGAGGGTGTGCCAGCTAAAGAAATCCCTCTACGGGATCAAGCAGGCGCCTCGACTTTGGCAGCAGCACCTACACAAAATCCTGCTCGAGATCGGTTTCAGGCAGCTGCCGCACGACCCGGGGATGTACCGCCTTCACTTTAGCGGGGACTAGATCCTCCTCACCGTCTACGTCGACGACCTGCTGTACACTGGCACCTGCAGCAAGCTTCTTAACCAGTTCGAGGAGAACCTGGCGAAGCGCGTAGACATCACCATCAACCATAATGTTACTTAGTTTTTGGGCCTGAACATCACCTACGCGCCAGAAGCAATCCATCACGCAGAGCAGCTGGGGGAACGCTTCAACATCTCACCCGCACCACTCTCAACTCCCTATCGCAGCCCCAGCTCCAACTACAAACCGGACAACAAACCCCTGTTCCCCGCAGGACTTCAACTATACCAGCAGCAACTGGGTTGTCTGCTGTTCGCTTCTGTCACATGCCGACCCGACCTTTCGTACATCGCCAGCCAACTGGCACAGTACTCTCGCAAGCCAGTAGTCGAGAACCAGCTGGACCTGGAACGCGCCCTGCAGTACTTCATCTCCACACCTGACATCGGGCTCTCCTACTCCACGCTGGCAACAACCTCCTTCAACCTCAACGGCTACGTGGACGCAGATCACGCCGCTGACCCTGCGAATCGACGGTCCCGAACCGGCTTTGTTTTCCGCCTAAAGCCAACCGGCCCAATCTCCTGGAACTCGCAGAAGCAGGAACTTGCAGAAGCAGGAACTTGTTGCCCTGTCATCGGCCGAAGCAGAATACATCGCCGCGACAGCAGCAGTTCGCGAAGGTCTGTACCTGCAGGAGTTGTTATAGGAGGCGAAAATTCCAACTTCGCCCACCTTTCGCCTTCACTGCGACAACCAGAGCGCCATCAAGATCGCGAATAAGCCAGGGTTCGTGAACCGCACGAAGCACATCGCGTTGCGATACTTCTTCGTCAAAGACGAAATCGATTTGGCCAAGGTTGACCTCGCATACTGCCCAACAACTGAGATGGCAGCCGACTTCCTCACCAAGCGTCTGCCACGTCAGCAGTTCAAACACTGCTCCGACCTCACCGGAGTGGTCAAGCGAGTCAGCATCACACGCGTCCAGGAATGAAGGGGAGTGTTACGATACGAAGTTTATGAGAAGGCATTCCTGTATGCTGCAGGAGCCGACTCTACCGAGTACGAAGTCGAGGAGTCAGAAGAATCGAAGCGACACAGCAACCGTCTGACCAAGGGCGATGCAGGAAGAAGCATTTGAAATGAAGAGAGCGGGAACAGGTTTTGAAATCGATTCCCGCGCCGCACGATTTTGAATTTCGCTGCAATAAGGGAATGTACCCCTTAGAGTACATGGCTAGTCTAGGTCGTTTCGCATTCCTTTGTATTCCTATATAAACCCAATGTATGCATGCTATTATCAATCTCAGTCATTTACATTCACTCAAACGTGAGTTCAATACTTCCGCTGCCATACAACCTGCGATCAACCCTGAACGATCCTTTCACTAAGTCTCACTTCAGATTGTAACCAGGGCCTAAGTTATCAGGGCAATTACCCTGTTTTGACTGAAATTATAGGGTGTTTTTTCAAGGAGCCCTGATTTTCACAAGGTTTTTTTCGGACCAGCCCGTAAAACTGAAGGGTGATTATTGAGTCAGCTCGGATCTCTCCGGGGAGTTCTCAAGGGGACCCGTATAATTTTAGCAGACATGTTCTCCCCGACCTGCCTTGCATTCCTCTCCGTCTCCCTCTAAACACACGTGGGCCACTTTTAGTGAATTTCCTAACCACTCTCTCCTTGTTGGCCTCCAAGTGTCTGATTGCCCTGTTCTACGTCGACATGGCTTAGAAGGCCAATAAGGAGAGAGTGTCTGATTGCCCTGTTCTCCCTATGTACTCTTCCTCATCGTATTTTTTTCGAAGTCTAAAATAAAGTCTCGCTCACCCCTCCAGAGCCACTCCATCTCCAATCTCCCCAGCCCTCGTGCAACCCACTGTGAGTTTCCCGCGAAATTCTGGCAATGCATGTTTTCAGGCCTTTTCTGGCTCGAACCCGGATTCGTCAAGGTTTTTTTTCCGCTGGCTCGGATTTTACAGGGTCTTTTTCACAGGGGCCCGGATCGTCCGAGCTAGCAAAAATCCTAGCAATAGCCCTGATTGTAACAGAAGTCACAACTCTAGTAAATGTGACACAGCACGTCGCTCAACCTTGCACCAAAATCGCAGATGTATGTGGAAGGATTAGGCTGCCAATCAGAATTGAGAATGAACTCTTGTTCCCTGTTCGTTCGAAACTCGTCTGGAGTGGGGGGGGGGGGGGGGGGGGGTCACTATTTTAGCTACTGGCTTTAAAGACACAAGTTCGTGCATATAACAAGGCCCTCTTCAGCCGCCTATTATTTTTTGTAACCTGGAATACCTCCAAATCCACCAGATACAGGTGGGAAGTCATTGAATCGCAATAGAGCGTCATATATTTGATTCCTATCAATAACAGTTTTATGCTTGATTGTTTTACGTACTTATTAGCAGTTCCTTGACCTGCACGACTTATTCTTAAATTGAATTAACCGCTACCAGCAACCACCACACCACTCGCAGAGCCGACAGGTCCTCTTGACTTGACTGACCAATGGTGTACAGTCCTGACTTATGCATCTGTTCTGCCTGGAAGGTCAGACCAAAGTCATGTCACATATGGTACGTATGGTACGATTCGCAAAGTGGACGTCAGGTGTCGTCCCTTGAACACCACCCAACAACAGAAACACTAGTACGCGTGGCAGAAAGATTTCTTTGAGGCCAATGCAGCAAGTCCAGCAGAGCTACGAAGCGCACCAATCCCGAAATCGGCAGCACAGCGTTGCATTTCCGGTTGGTCGTACCGTACCAACTCTGGTCCGTTTGTATGAACGGAACAGTTGAGCGGTACCAACGGTAACCACGCCTGAACGTTAGTTATTGTTCTTAACCGTCTACAATCTCATGACCATGTGGACCAAAGTCCGTAACAGGAAACGCCCACATCCTCGTGCATGTCGCAATCGCCGTGCGTGTCATCGACGTCTCGCTACGTACTGTCGTCAGCAGCGGAGGTGCGAGAACCAGTGGTGAATGCAGATGAAATGTTCCACAGCACAGCATCACATGAAACCAACTCAAGAACCTCATGTAGAGTTTCATCTGCGTTCTAGTAACCGTTGCATCTTGAGGCAATAGTGAAGCCTTTCCTGGTCGCCCGAGTAGCATTGTCTCACATGGGTTCCCAGATACAGTGTCGCATACTCCATAAGCTTGCCTTACCCACCACGCGGCCTGGGAACGCAAACCACGGACTCTCATCGCAAACCAGGGAGGAAACCCTAGAGCGAAACGTTGTGGTGTGCGCTATTTGTAAAGCTGATTGGAGTCCTGTCATTCATCATGAGCATCGACCAGTCCTCGTACGATCTAGTAGTATCAGTTGACGCGCGGCAGATAAAGTTAGTCGAACAAAGGCTCTTTCGGACACCTGCTCATATAGTTCCTCAGCTAGTCGTAGTACCAAGAACCTTGCGTCTGAGCGTAGAACTCGTTTGAACGTGAATCGATTTTTAATAAAGTTGTTTTGTGAACGTGAAAATTTATAGTCGTGACCATGATGGCGCAGCCAATGATGGTGGAGCCGCCCATGATTCGGCTACCCGTTGCCAATCATGAAGCCTTGCGATCTCTCGCCGATTGCGCCGCGGCGGCAGGAGCGCCCCCAGCCTCCCCCGGAAGGTTCTCCGCCAAGCAGGCTCGCGGAAGCCCCGGGTCGCGCTTCACGCCGCGATTCTCGCTAGGGAATGTGCTTGGTGAGGGGAGCTACGGCGTGGTCGAGCTGTGTCATGAACGGTACACGATCACGCCACGTGGCACCAAGATCTACGCCTGCCCAGCGGAAAATGCGGATGCCGTTGGCACACGGTCAAATTCCGAACACTTGACTAGCGACGGCAAAGGAAGCTGCTTCGGAACCTTCGCATGTAAGACAGTGCATAAGCCGGCGTGTGACAGTAACGAGGATCCGCGAGTTTTGGCGCTGGTGAGGGAGATCAAGGTGATGAAACACCTGGGTAAACACCCAAACATTGTGCAAATCAAGGGTGTATACAACAGCAAGGAGCGGCTGCGACTGGTGATGGAGCTGTGCGACGGTGGCGACCTGCTGAAGCTGCTCAAGGGGAAGAAGTACAGCGTCGCACAGCTGAATCGCCTGCAACAGCAGGAGCGTCGGCAGCAGCAAAAGCTGAGTCGCCAGCTTCACCAGCAGCAGCTGGTGCTCCAGCAGCTAAAGCAACAGCAGCAACAACAGCAGCATCGGTCTGTATGGGGCCAGTTATCTCAGCTTGGCAAGGCCATGCTTCCAGAGCAGATAACTGGTAACCACAAGCATCACCATCATGGTGTCTCTCACCACCAAAACAGTGTGGCTATGAGCGGCACCAGCAGCAGCATCAGCGCAAGTGGCGGCGGCAGCGTCAGCAGTGGCAAATCTGCTCATATCCTTCCTCTGGATCACGACGGCCTTCCTGAGCCGCTTGCGGCTGACATTTTTCGGCAGCTAGTGAGCGCCGTGGCGCACTGCCACTTGCACGGTGTCATCCATCGCGACATCAAGCTGGAAAACGTTCTGCTGACGTCAGGCATGCCACGTCAGCAGCAAGCTACACAATCAGGCGACTGTTCAATTTCACGAGGCGCAGAGGTTTCTTCTGCGGCTGCCATTCGCAACGGCACATGTCCTTTCACAGTGAAGCTTGCCGACTTCGGGCTGGCAAAAATTCTCAAGCCGCCCGAGAGTGAAGCCATTGGAGATACTGGAAGCAAGCTGTACAAGGCACCAGAGGTCTACGAGCGCCGGTGGTACACCACCCAGGCAGACATGTGGAGCCTCGGGATTGTCCTGTACGCACTGCTGTCAGCCCGCTTCCCTGAAACTGACGCAAAAACCGGATTGCTGGCCAGTACTACACCTGAAGTTCTGTTCAAGAGCAGGCTGTGGGGAACAGTATCTGCAGCTGCAAAAGATTTGATTCACCGGCTTCTGTCTTTCGACCCTGCAATGCGACCCACCTGCGAGGAAGCTCTGCGACATGAATGGGTTCGGCAGGGTTTGGTGAATCACACAGCGGGCCATGTTGGTCCTGTCGCGGTACCAGCTGCGATGCAGCCTCGGGTGGTTCCCCCGCCTATGCAACAGCCTCTGATTTCTCCCATGGTCCCGCCTCCTGCAGCAACCAGCCCAACCAGCACAGCCACCAGAGCAGAAACAGGAGATGCGGTGAGACGAGATTATGACCAAAGCTCGGCCAGTATCCTTGATCGAGTGTGGCAGCAGCTCGCTCATGAGCCTCCAGCATCCACACCTCGCTTCTCTGTACCTGATTTTGCAGTGCCTTCTGTTAAGGGGTGGGGGGGTGGTAGGACGAGTGGGTCTCGTCTCAAGCCTAAGAGATCACCGCTGCGTTCGTCTTTCCGACTGATGTCACTAAGCAGCAAACCAGCAGCAGGCAGCCGCACGTAATGAAATAACTCATGTATATAATGCATGTGCAGTTTTCCAACCATTCTATTAGGTAAAATCATAAAGAGCGTAACTCACCAATGATCAGAAAGTAAAATCAGAGGTTTAACTCACTGAGCAACTCACCAAAGACTCTCACCCTACATAAGCAGGGGTGAACTCACAAAAGAAATATTCTTGGTGTGCGTGTGGATAATCACTCCTAACGATAGTGGAATTTCGAGTAGGCCATGGGAGCTACGGTAAGCATGGAGCGATGGTAGTGAGTGATGGCGCTGGAGCAGCAGCTGCAAGCACATACTAGGTGTTGGAACAGGGCTGACGTTTCGTTTTAGGCCTCCCTGATCCCAGGGAAAATTTTCCCCCTCTATTATGGTGGCACATTTTTCACAAGATAGCTACTCTGAGAGCTCTATGTCAGACAAATTCCTACCCTGAGCTGACAGGGTTCACAGCTCAAAATCAGGGTTGCTATTTACATTGCACTACACTTCGAAATGAGAGATACAACTCCTCTCCTACACTATCTAGTGCACGGCTCTGTCAATGTGGAACACCTCCTCCACATCATCATCGTCAGACAGGAAAGGATTGTCCTCCGCTTCCTCCTCCTCCCCCACGATCTCCTGTGTCAAAACATATGCATGTTAGTATCTAGGCTATATTGGGGCTAGCCTTAAGGGGTACAGAAACTCACTCGACACTCTAGTCTTGTACCCCAACCTCCACCTAATCACACATACTCTTCTCATTCTAACATGGCATCAGAAGCCTAGGTTAGGAACCTAGGACCACCTTGTACTAAGGGCCCGCCCTTCCGCTAGCGCCCTCGAGCGCCTTCTTCCTTTCGTGCGCCCTCGCGCGCCTCGTTTCCTGGTCGCGTAGCCCGCTAGACGACCGCGCGCGGCCCCCTTTTTGCCCGCGCGCGGCCTCGTTTTTTGCCCGCTAGCAGCCTGCGCGCGGCCCGAATCGCGTGCGCGACGACCATAGGCCGCTCGCGCGGCTCGATCCGCCCACGAGCAGGTCGCTAGCCGCCCGTCGGCCCGCCCGTAGGGCTTCGCGTCGCCCGTAGGCCGCCGCCCCTGCTTTCGTAGCCGCTGCCTGCGCGCGAGTGCAGCCCACGCCCGACCGCTCGCCCCTAGGACGGCGCTCGTAACGCCGCCGCCCGCCCGCAGGTCGCAGCCCGCGCGCAGTGGCGATCGCGCGTCGGCTGCTGCAGCTCGCGCTTAGCTGCAGCTCGCGCTTAGCTGCAGCTCGTGCTTAGCTGCAGCAGGACCCCAGCCGCGGCCTGCACGCAACTGCAACCCTAGGCGCCGCCGCGCACCGTGCATAGGCCCGCCGTTGCGCTGCCCTACCTGCCCGAGCCGCGCCGCCCTGACTGAGCCTACTGTTTAGGGTTTAGGGTTTTGCAGCACCTACTGTCCCTGTTCCTGCTGTTACAGCTGTTCTTCTCACTACAGTTGTTCCTACTACTGCTCTTACTGCCGCTACTGCCACTATGGCTACACCCACAGTTCTCTCTTTCGATGCTGAGGGCCGTCCGCTCCAGTTTGATGCTTGGCTTGACGATCTCCACCTTTTCCTCCAGATCACCGCTAAGGATGACGTCTCGCTGTATGACCACGCGTCCGGAACCGCTCTCGCACCTGCTGACACTGCTGACAGTACAGCTCGCTCCCAGTGGCAGACTCGTGACGCCCACGCTCGCCTAGCCATTCGCAGCCACCTGCCGTTAGATGAGCGCGCGCACTTTGGCCAGCACAAGACTGCTAAGGAGCTGTACGATGCAGTAGTCGCCCGCTACTCCTCACCTGCCTCCGCTACGATAGGCCGTCTCTCTCTGCCCTATCTTTTCCCCGATCTCGCCGCCTTTCCCACAGTCGCTGACCTCATTACACACCTCCGCACCAGTGACACTCGCTTCCGAGCCGCCCTCCCTGCTGAGTTTCTCGCCAAGAACCCCCCACCGATGTACCTCGTTCTCTACCACCTAGTCACCCGTCTCCCTGACTCTCTTCGCGCAGTCAGGGACCACTTTCTCGCCCTCTGCCCTACCGAGCTCACCATTGACCTGCTCGAGAAGCATCTGCTTGCAGCTGAGGCTAGTATAGTTGCTGTAGGTGCCTCTCGTGGCGACCCCCGCACGCCCTTCTTCGACGGGTGTTCCCCTTCCCCCCTTCTCCCCTCGGTTGCCTCTGCTGCCGCTGTCGACTTCCTCGGTGCTGAGGACGTCGGGGCTGCGTCTGCTCCTAGCTGGAGGCGCAAGAGCGGCAAGGGCAAGGGGGGCAAGGGTGGCGGCGGTACAAGTGGGGGAGGTGGGGGTGGCGGTGGAGGTGGAGGCGGTGGGGGTGGTGGCGGTGGTGGGGGTGGTGGCGGGGCTGGGGGGGTCAGTGGCAGCGGCGGAGGTGGCAGCGGCGGGGGGGCAGCGGCGGGGGTGGTGGCGGCAGTGGTGGTGGGGGAGGCCGGGGTGGAGGTGGTGGTGGTGGCGGCAGTGGGCGTGGTGGCGGCGGCTCGGGTGGTGGTCGGGGTGGACCAGCGCAGCGTGGAGGCTCGGGTGGTGCCCAGCGCCAGCAGCAGCGTCTTGGAGAGACCCCGTCGTCCCAGCAGCTTCGTGAGTGGTACTCTCAGCATGGGGGGTCTGGGGGTGGAGGCACCTGCACGTATGTCATCCGCACCGGTGACCGCGCTGGTCAGACGTGTGGGCGTTTCCACACGCCGCACCGCTGCTTCTTTCGTCTAGACGATGCCTGGCGTGCACAGTTCCCGGAGGCCTCTGAGCTGCCCCGCTGGGCTGATCTGCTTAAAAAGAACATTGATGTATTTGCACTTGACTTTGATGTTATTCTTGGAGCCATGTATGCATTGACTATTAGTGTTGAGGGTGACTGTTACTTGTGTGTGCCACCAGACCCAGGCATTGCGACCAGTGAGGCTGCCGCTCTAGGTGCTAGTGCGTCCGCTGCCCCAGGTCCTGGTGAGACAACTGCTCTAGGTGCAGGTGTGTCTGCTGCCCCAGGTGCTTGTGAGACTGCGCCTTCAGGTACAGCGTCTACTGCGGCACTGCACACCTTCACCCTGGACTCAGGTGCTTCCCGCTGTTTCTTTCGCGACCGCACTGCCCTCGAGCAGCTTCCTAGACCGGTTGCTGTCTCCCTGGCTGACCCCTCCGGGGGTCCGGTTCTTGCGACCTCCTCCACTGTCCTCCCGTGTCCTGCGGTCCCGTCTGGCACCCTGTCAGGTCTTTACCTCCCCTCGTTCTCTACGAACTTGGTGGCGGGCTCTGCTCTACAGGACGGGGGTGTTCACCAGTTCACCCCTGCCTATGAGCGTGTGACCCACTGTACGTGTGCCCGGACGGGTCGCCACCTTGCTACCTTCACTAGGGAGCCGGGGTCGGACTTGTACACACTAACCACTGAGTCCCCTCAGGTCGCTGCGTCTGCGTCTGCGTCAGGTCAGCTGTCGGCCCCCTGCTTGTGTCGCTCCCTGTCCCACCAGAATGTCCCCTGGCACCACCGCCTTGGTCACCCGTCAGTGCAGCGCCTTCGCGGCATGCACCGTCGCCTCCTTGTCTCTGGTCTTCCCCGGGTTCTCCCTCCCCTCCCACCCTCGCCTGCGCCTCCCTGTCTTCCCTGTGTCGAGGGGCGGCAGCGCGCCGCTCCTCACTCCTCCGAGTTTCCCCCGACAGAGGCTCCTCTGCAGACACTCCACATGGACGTGTGGGGCCCCGCCCGCGTCCGTGGACAGGGCGGGGAGCGCTACTTTCTGCTGGTAGTTGACGACTACACGCGTTACACCACGGTCTTCCCCTTGCGCACCAAGGGTGAGGTCCCTGATGTCTTGATCCCTTGGATCCGCACTACCCGTCTCCAGCTGGAGAGGCGCTTTCGCTCGGACCTTCCAGTCCTGCGACTGCACTCTGATAGAGGTGGTGAGTTTTCCTCCGACCTCTTGAGAGCCTTCTGTCAGGGGGAGGGCATTGAGCAGACGTTCACGCTTCCGGCCTCTCCGCAGCAGAATGGGGTTGCTGAGCGCCGCATTGGCCTGGTCATGGAGGTCGCTCGTACCTCCTTGGTCCATGCGGCTGCCCCCCACTTTCTGTGGCCGTTTGCGGTACGGTACGCCGCGCATCAGCTCAACCTCTGGCCCCGTGTCTCTGACCCGGACACCTCGCCGACACTGCGTTGGACGGGAGAGGTTGGCGATGCGTCGGTGTTTCGAGTCTGGGGATCTCGTGCCTTTGTCCGCGATGCGTCCGCGGACAAGCTCTCCTCCCGTACCCTCCCCTGTGTCTTCCTTGGCTTTGTCCTTGACGCGCCTGGCTGGCAGTTTTACCACCCTGCCTCGCGCCGTGTCTTCCCTTCTCAGGACGTCACGTTTGACGAGTCGGTCCCCTTCTACCGTCTCTTCCCCTACCGCACTGCCCCGCTCCCCCCTCCGCCGCTCTTCCTCACTCCAGGTGCTGCTGTGGTAGACCCCCTGCCTCCCCAGGGTCCTGCAACCTCAGGTGTTTCCCAGGTAGACCCGGTCGAGCCTGTCGAGGTAGCTGTCGACTCTGGTCCTGCGCGAGGTACTGAGCCTGAGCGTGCCGAGCCTGGTGGTGCTGGGTCTGGTGGTACCGAGACTGGGGGTGCTGAGCCTGGGGGTGTGGAGACTGGGGGTGCTGGGCCTGAGGGTGCTGACACTGGGGGTGCTGCGCCTGGGGGTGCTGACACTGGGGGTACTGAGCCTGGGGGTGCTGTGCCTGGGGTTACTGAGCCTGGGGGTGCTGCGCCTAGAGGCACTCTTTCTTCCTTGGAGCTGCGTGAGTGGTACTCTCGGTACTGCCGCCGCCACAGTGGTACTGTGGGAGCTGGGAGTACTGTTGACACTGGAGCTGAGGGCGCTGGAGCTCCTGGTGCTGGTGTGGCTGCCGACCCTGGGGTTGGCGCTGGAGGTGCTGGAGCTGCTGGGCCTGGAGGTGCTGCTGGAGCTACTGGAGGAGCGAGTGCTGCTGGAGC